GACTGAATTTATTATCTTTCCTAATTAAGATTTACAAATAAGGAAAGTTTTTTAAATTTGAATTTCAAATTTCATATTGAGGTAATTACTTTCCTTTTCTCTTGGAGTTAATTTAGGAATGGAGTTATGATAAGTGAAATCATCATAATGGAATGGGGGCAAGAGGGAGGTGATTAAGGAGTCTTAATTGGGAGCATTTAATGACAAAGGAGAGAGAGGGGGGTTAGCGCTTTAAGGCAGATGCGGAGCCGTGCCGGGTGTACGGGAGCATGCGAGAAGGGCGAAAACATACTGCCAGGCAGAAATAAGAGAAAAAAATTGGACCACAATCTATGGGAGCTAGTGAAGCTACAAAACCTCAAGTATTTACTCCTCAAGAACTCACAAGAAGAGAATCTTTGGAATCTCGCGAACTCAAAAGACATGATCATTCCTCCCAAACAAACCACTAGAGATCTTCTTGGGAATCTCGGAACTCATAGAAGAGATCCACTCTTCCTCCTCAAGAACTCACTAAGAGATCTCGGAATCTCGGAACTCACAAGAGAATCCTTCTCCTCTCATGAACTCACTAAGAATCACACAAGTTAAATAAACTTTTCCTTCAATAATTCATCATCTCCATTACATAAGAAAGGGCCTCTATATATAGCCTAAAACATAAAACAAACAAATATGCCCATATAGCTATACTAGGACGACCCTCTTAGTGAGGGTAAAAACGAAAATTTATAATAAAATTTAAATTACAAATAAAATAAGATAACGTGGGACGATGACAGCCATTGATCTTCAGCTCCTCGATAGACATGGACGGTTGGATGTCCGCAACACCTTAGGGTGATATTATAGCTTTCTTTGACTTAATTCAATGACACATTGACTTATATTGAGTATTTACAATCGTCTTCTGTGGGACAATACCAGGACTTGATGCATTGCTGTTTGAAAATTGAGCAATTTGAGGCACGCCTCAACGCCATTCCAACAAAAAAGCCTCGAGCATTTTTGTTGAGGCAATCGCCTCAGTTTAGCTGAGGCACACTCGCCTCTATGAAGCATCCTCACTCTACTTATAATATTTTTAATTAAAACTTACCTAATCTAAATTTAAGGCCCGAACAATCAGCATTCATGCAATCTGGAGCACAGTAACTTCTCTCGACTGCCTCGACCTCCGAGCCTGCTATCTAGCTGCAGCCATCACCAACCTCTTATAGGTGTTATGAGGCAAAGGGAGAGATCAACATTATGATAAGATTACTCAAATGAAGACCCTCTAAAATGATGACAATTATATATGACTTCTAAGTTATTGTTCATAACTATTTATTTCAGCATTCTTTAAAAAATCAAATATGCCTTAACAGAGAATTGAGAAAGAAAGAAGAATTTGGAGTTTTAACTTGATGTTATTATAATATTTTTATGCAATTCCTATATTTTATATTGTTTTCACTCTTGTTGATGATGATTTTAATTCTATTTTACGCAATTTAATCAGTTGTCACTTTATGTCTTGTTGCAATTATTTTTGTTTCAGATGTATGTTAAATTGTTACTTCATAGTTCAATAGAAAGTTAAATATGTCATCATTTAGCATATTAATTGATTATTATATCAAAAAAATTACTTTCAAACATTTATTTTCACCTTTACACACTTTTTTTTTATTTTTGAGGCTTATGCCTAGGCTCGACTTGCGAACAAAAAAAGCTTTACACCCAATTGTATAATTTTAAACCTTGACTTGATGATATACAATAGAGATTATGATGAGGACATACGTTAGCAACTTCGACACATGTACCATTATGAGACGCGGAGATCGACGGCTACGTCTAGTTATTTTTCTTTCATGGTGCCGCTTTTTTTACTCTTTTCCTCTTTGTTTTTCTCTGCTCTTTTTCCTCTCTGGTTCTCAGAAATCCGCATGTACCGGGAGCATTTCTAGATTTCATGTGTTTTTCTTTGATCAGGCCTGATATATATGTTCTTTCTTATGTAGTATCTTGTATTTTGATTTTTTTTGTTTCCGCTTTTTGCCTCATGGTATTTCCATCGCTCATTGTAGCTCTCACAAGTGGGCATTTTAATTTTGTTTTCTTGTCATTTGACCTATATATATGGCCCTTTCTTATGTAATAGTAGTTTTGATGAAATGAAAATTTACTTGTGTACTTTTGTGAGTGCATCCCTCTCAATATCTTCTTAGTGTAGTTTGGGCGAGAGCTAGTATCTCTTTTGTCAGTCTAGACTCCTCCAATTTCTTTGTGATCAATTTAGTGTGAGAATTCAAGGAGAATCCGTCCGGATCGCAATCTTCCTTGAACTTCCATCCCCTCACCCATTCCAACCAGCACTCGTCCGGCCTCTCTCGCCGCTCCGCTCAGTGCTAGCCGACCTCCAGGCCATCTGCCCTCCCGCCGGCCAACCACCTTCCACACCGTGGCGACCCTTTTTCCTCCCTCCTTTAGCGCCGCCGGCTTCCCTCTTCCTGATTTCAAATTTGAAATTCAAAGTTTTTATGGGCCATTAAATTGTTTCCTAAAGTAGCTCCTTAATTCCTATCGTCTATCAATTTAATCTTATGATTATTTCAATTTTAAATTTCTTGAAATTAACTGCTTAACTAGACTTTTGCCCTCTCTAAATGGAAGTTTTCTCTCCTAACAAAAAACTTGAAAATTTATTCAGTTTTCTGTCTAAAAAACTGAAATTTAATATGTGGTGGTTCCCCACTATTCCAAAATCACCCCCTCTCTCCCTCCTATTGGGCCGCCCCCTTAATGGCCTCCTCTCTCTCTCTTCTCCTAATCACCTTAATAGCTCCTCAAATTCAGCCCCAAATTCCCCTTCTCTTTAACCCCCCTCCCTCCTTGATTTAATTTGAATTTCAAATTAAATTCTACCATTTAAACCTCTCCAAAATTCTGAAAATTAATTCAGAATTCCTCCTGCACTCTACTCTCATTTGACCTCCCACCATAACCGAATTCCCCTAGCTCAAACCTGTGACCACTCTCTCCCTAGCTCACGGCCCTCCTCTCCACCTCTCCTTCTTGTCTTCCCCCACTTAATCCCACCTCCGCATGGTCGGACCCTGTAATTGAATGGAAGCTTTTGGATTCGTATCTATGGACTGAGCAGTAGATTCAAGTCGACTCCTTCCAATCATCCTGTTCTTGATGTGGGCTTGTGATTTTCGACGGCTACGATTTGTAAGATTTTTACTATCGGTCCTGTATTATTCCATTTACACCATTAGTTTGTATGTTATTCGTACGTAGCTATACAGATTCATATTTAGGTTCCGTTGGATCATCATTTGTGTATCGCACTGTCTATCCTTCCATTCTCATCTCCGGCCACTCTATTCCTATAGTGTAATTTGTGGAGTATCTTTAGGGTGTCTCCTTTCTTCCTCGGAGTGACCTCGGTTCTAATGTGGAGACTCTTCTTCCGCTAAAGCCTAGACTAGTTGAGCGTATGGGCTCCAAAGGTGAAAGTTCTCATTATTAAATCATGGATTCTTGTGTATCGTCGTAGTTTTACAATTGCTCTTTGTGTTTTCTTGAATTGTTTGGGAATCGGCTTTGCTCTTCTTTGCCTAAGCAAGTTAAAAACCAAGAATTCTAAGGATCAATCATTGCTATAAGTAATAAATTTATTGTGGAAACACTTTGTTAAGTCGCTATCTTTAATTTCCTAAGTAACTCCGACATTGTTTCACATCAGATTAAAGAATGAATATTAGACAAACAGTTTACTATTTTAGTTGCTACTTCATCTACGATTTCACAAAATCCGGCTTAATATTATTGTGCCTTCTATTTTGTATTGAATGCTGTTGTGCTTGGTTCATTACAAGATGGCTCACAGTAGATTTCAACAAGTGCTTTAATTTATATTATTTCAGTTTGACAGTCCTTATGAATAACCTCAGGTTTTACTTCCTGTCTCGTTCTACTTTACTGGCATTCTAAAACATTATGCTGTTGTAATCTTTGACTTTTATGCTAAAACTGTTTAGAGATTATTTCTGGACTGTAGTGCCTTAAAAGGTTGATGCTCATTATTGTAGTAAGAACTTTTCAATGTATCATTTTATTTTCTTGCTTCAATTATATTCTTATATATTTTCTTGATCTTAATTTTTAGTGGTGCTAAGGAGAAAATATTTTAAAGATTGTAAAATATGAAATATCATAGAGATGAATACCTGAAGAGTTGAACAGGAATATTGACCACACCTTCTAAGTGTTCAGGAGTAATGCAGCATCCAGAAAAAAAGATAGGTCAACATTTCAGAATAGCAATTCCAGATGATGTAGAATAAGCTATTTTTGTCTTTAAATGAAGAGAAGAATAAGATGGGAAGAACGGGAACATTGGTATACTATCTTAATAGGATAAATATTAGTATCATATATTTCACTGAACACAAGTAATCAAGCCTGAACAGCTTCGCCTATAAACAACAGCACTCTTTAACATGCAAACTACCACAAACAGCATTTCTATACAAAAATTAATCTTAAAGCTATGGCAATACCAGGGAAAAACTTTAATTAATCCCCAAGGCTCCGCCCACTTAGAGAAGTAATCTTAAAACATTAAATGATGGGCTGTTATCAGAAATGAATCTTAAAACATGCTAATCAATAATAATAAGTAGAATTTCATAAATAGACCTACATATGATGAGAAAAACAAATCAGATAATGTTGCGCTGAATCAATACACAACTGCATGTAATCCAGTACAATCATAACAGCATTTTCAAGCATTTTATTCCCTGATTATACATGAAAAGAAAAGTAATAATATAGCCGTTATTTGTACTCGTGTAAGATCATTTATTAGTAGGTATAGAAAATCCACCAACTATTCTCTCAAACACAACCAAGTTTGCAAGAAGAAAAATCTCAATCAAATCAACCATCTCATAAATACATCAAGATGGGCATTAAACAATATGGCCAAGAATTTTGCATACCTCATTATCAGGATGTAAATGTGATTGAAATATTAATAAGATAGTCTGAAGAGTTTTAAGTTGAACACCATCATCTGCCATCTCTGAATGCTGTGTAAACAAGAAGATGAATAGGAATTTAGAAAAAGAAAGGTTAAAATCTTGGTTAAACCACCTTACAAAAATGATAGACAAAGCATCCTCATGAATTTAGCTGCTATTGAGTAAGTTATGATGGACCAGCAAGATGAAGTAAACATAAATTATGATAGAACACCTTAAAAAAAGGATAGATCAATGATTTTTCTTAGTCAAGGCACATGCATTTGATGAATCCATAAGCTTGGAAGCGGTCAACATATCTAGTTCCCATAAGATGGTAAGTGAAGACAATTTTCAAACTGTCAATGATGATGTTAAGCATGAATAAAAATCAAAATTCTAGGCAAAATACATTATATTGTACATGCACATCTTCTATGACTGTCTGGCCTTGGCCCACACACTTGCAGAGTAGCCTATCAATATTCATAAGAATACAGATGAACATTGTACTGTACAAAGCAACGCAGCATAGCAACAGAATATATTACCAAACAAAGCCTGGCAGTCAAGCTTTGTTGTTAAACGATGGGTGATTTAGTAATTCATCAAACAGTAGGCTTAGAGGAAACAAGCATATACGGAAAAGCCCAGAATGCCAGCATGGCATGACAATCAGAGTACGTGATAGCTCATATCTCCTCAAAGGCTCAAACTCACCCACCTTTGATGTTAAGTTCTTAATCTATGCCATATGCTTTACTAACAAGTATCAAACATCAAAACCTAACAAATTTCAAGCTTTACTGAAAATGCTGCTATATTTGACACAATATCTGGCACTGCACAATGGCAAACAAAACTAACACTTTAGCTTACATGTCCATCTTAAAAACAATGGAAAACAGAGATGTGCAAGAAGATAAATTTGATCCTCTAGGCAAAAAAGTCATGTTCGAACCAGAAATCCCAGAAAAAAATAAACTCATGGACAACAAATCATACAAGGCTCTAAGGATGAAAATACTGATGCATTTTATCTAATTTATTTAAATATGGCTCATGCTGATTCAAAGACATGTAAAAGTTACCTCATGTATTGGATTCACCCTTATCAAGTACCTTGAATGACAAAGTGGGTATATTCAAAGGGATAGACCATAGAGGCCTTTGATAGAGGAACCAAAGCTTAAAACAAGTACAGGATCATAACACTTGCTCTACTTTGGTCGTGTTGTCATCATCTTTAATTGTTTATATAATAGATCCAAGATACTTAAATCTATCACACATATGTATCACTTCCCCTTGTAAAAATATTAAACAATAATTGTTAACATCACAACCACTAAAATTACATATTATATACTCAATATTTATTCTAAAAATTTTAAATCCTTTATCTTTTAAAGATTCATACATTGTTCTTAATTCTAATTATTTTAGTGAATGTCTCTCTAATTAAAACTATCTACTAAAAACAACACCATGGCACCTCACATTAAATAAATTTTGTAAGCATCTTTATAATCAATACAAAAATGTATGTACCACATGTGTTAACTTATTTATAGTAGTAATCTGAATTATTTATTATTGTAATATCTTGTCATTATCGAGGATCGCATTTACTATATTTCACTTAATTGTTCTACTCTTGCTTATTTATTGGTATACATATGCTTATATTAAAAAAGCAATTCAAAAAAATGTAGTCATTTACAAATCTCTCCCTTCAAGCATAGTATCAGAGCTTGTTATCTACATGCTGCATTGCAATTTTTTGATCAACTTTTTTATCTCCCTAATCGACGCAACATATTGGCATCCTCCTAGCCAATCATAGACCCCACATTCTTTGTTGGTGCAATATGATCGTGCCACCACTAGTTGCACGCAATAGATCCCAACGTCTCAAACCTCAAGCCACCAAACCTCCAATCAAGGTGCCTCAACTAAGAAATAACAAGAACGATGTCACTACTTCTTCTCGCTACTACTCATCAAGGACCAAATCCTTTGCAATATGGTCTACTCTTCCCCTTGTGTAATCTCTTCTATATTTATTGACACTCGCATTTCCTTTACTAATAGCAAAGGCCTACTATCAATAACCCGCATCTGAAGTTCATAGTGTTAATGTTAATCTAACATTGATCGTGCCCTCTACCCTAACGGTTGATCACTCATAGAAACCGACCTCGACCTCAGTCACCATCCTTTCAAAAATCCAAATTTTGATCTCTTGTGCACCCTAATGACAACTGTGCCATTGACTTTGCCTCATTATGTCAATACTTTTTATCAATACTCGCCATCGAGGCTCTCTAGTAGTACACTCCAATACACTCTATTGATAAATTCGTGTGGAGATCTTATAAGTTCATTCCCTAAAACAAATCTATAGCTAACTCTTTGCAGACGATTCATTTTATTTTATCTCTGACCAAGCAATCGCACTCCTCTTACAACCAAGGGTTTAAATATTAAATCGAACCAACAAGCCTGATGGTGAACTAATTCACCGATCGATGCAATCCCAAATAAAAACCATTTTACACAATAACCGAGAAATTAAGAAAGAACTAAAAATCAAATCGCCAAACCAGTGAACCCTTCGTAATTTGAATCAGCCACTATGCTCATTTCATAATTAAATTTTGTGTTTGATATCATCTTTCTTTTCTTTATCAAACAATTGAAAATTAATATTTAAAATCATAATAATTTAAATAATCTAAAGCCTAAATTTGCTAAATATATCAAGCTTTGGCCGTTCCCTTGATCCCTCTTCTCAAAAATGCATCTCCTGTGAGTCCTCTCCTCAATGGTGTTAAGCAGCTAGCAACTCAAGGAACCCCATCAACCTTTCCCTAAAATTCTCATGTTATCGCCAAACCATAGTGGTAGAATTATCCTCATGCAAATGACTCTGAATTTTAGGGTACACAACCAATATTAAAACTTAATCATTTTTTTAGAGCATCCAAAAAGAACTCAAAAGTAAGGTTGGGATTTAAATTTGATGAAGAAGAGCTATCTTATATCATCTTCTTTAGCTATAGACTATTGGGAATTAGTCAAACCTAATTCGAATCACCAAAAACTCAGAACACCAATATGGGATACTTGTCAGAGGCTTTGGCCCCCTCAAACCCCACCCCCTTGTGGCGTGCGATCCCTTGGGAAGGAACTCCAACGACAACCTTACCGCAAAAGTCGATCATCAACTAAGTTTGTAAAATGCATTTCTTCATAGATCATTAATTAGGCTCCAAACCCTACATGGGCTTGAAAATTGAAGGCTTCTAATATTCATAGTAATATACATTTTATTTATTCAATCAACTCATATCAATCCTACAACAATTTTTTTACCAAACAGGCACATATCTTGCAATGCTATATATGGCAATCTTAACATGACTTTACCAAATAGTCATCAGCTGTACTCAATGGTATAATAAAACACAACACTATACAACAAAAAAAGGCAATAATGCCATATGGAGCCTTACTCCTTGCCCCATGCATGCCCTCTCTCATAGGATTTAATGATCAATGATAACATACTTTGTAGAATAACTTGGTCATCTCTATAAGGGCATAAATCATTATTTTTTTGTAAAGCACAAAAAACAAAATATTTTCAAAAAAAAAAAATTACAATTAGTTCTAGATAAGGAGAATCAAACTTATGCCTTCCAATGCAAGAGAAATAAATATGTTACACCAATTTCAGAAGAAAAAAAATTCATCTGTGATTTATGGAGCTGTGTGTTATTGTATGTTCACAATAGCCCAATCATATCTATATAATATATTTTAGATTTTTAAAATAGCTACATATGTATCTTGTTCTAATCATATAACCATTTTTATGTGTGTATACTTCATATCATCATCATTGTTGCATTCATTCAGGCTCAAGGTGCATTCATATCCTATTTTAAAAGATTTTTTACATCATCACATAAATATTTTTTTAAATTTATAGCAGCATTTCATGCCTGTGCATGCGTAGTTTATATGCATGCACAAACTTGATAAATGAAGACAAAAATCATAAAGATGAAATCGATGTCCCTAAATAAGCTACTCTAAAACATAAAAAGTAATTAAAAACAAGCTGTCATGCAAATTAAAGCTCATGAACCCGGTGACTACAACCCCTCATGTAACAGTGAAAATTATGAGTTGACCTTTAAAGTTCACAAACTTGATAAATGAAGACAAAAATCATAAAGATGAAATCGATGTCCCTAAATAAGCTACTCTAAAACATAAAAAGTAATTAAAAACAAGCTGTCAAGCAAATTAAAGCTCATGAACCCGGTGACTACAACCCCTCATGTAACAGTGAAAATTATGAGTTGACCTTTAAAGTTCATCTAGTCCAAAAATTTCTT